TGATGTATGATACTTGGAGGTAAACATTATTGTTATTATAATACTATGTATACCTAGTGTGTTCTACTATAGAAGATGTGTTTTTTAACAGATTTTTCTAAGTATTTATTTTTGAAGTGTCATTAAAAAATTAATTAAAAAATTAATTTATCTTATAAGTTTTTCTTATTGTAGTTATAAAAAATTAATAATTAATTTTTACGAAAATAATGATTTATCCTCGAATGATTTTCAATGTTTGTTATTATTCAAAAAGTATTAATCGTAAATACGTAAATACAAAAAAAAAAATTTTAAAAAAAAATAAATAAATAAATATAAAAAAAAAGTATATATTTATTTATAAATAAATATCGTAAATACATTTCACTAGTTATTTAGATTGGCATTTTCTTTACATAATTTAATTTTCAAAATATTTCGCTTATTTTAAGGCTAATTTATAGGCATTTGAAATATTCGTTTTTGTTTAGTTTTTTTTTTAATAAATATCGATTATTTATTATTAATAAAAATTTAAATATAATATGATTTTTTCTAAAATGTTATTTCGTGTTTGTAACTTAAGGAATGAACATTTTGGTACACGTGCTGTAGAATCCATGGCAGATGTACTAAGGTCAAAAAAAAAGTTATTTGATGAAAATGGTATAAACGTTATGGTGAGTGAGAATCCTTTTATCGTGACTGTAGTAACGCCAATTATGAAAAGAGCTAATCAAGAAAAAAGTTCCGGTGCAATAATATTTATTGATAGTAGTGGATCTTGCGATCAAAGTGGTTCGTGCGTGACATTTGTTTTTGGCTCAACAAAAGCTGGTGGAATTCCTCTTGGTTATATTATACATCAGTTACAAACGCAAGAAAATTATACACTTGGTTTTGCACAGTCCTACTGCATTTGGAGGAAGAGGAGAACCTCTTGTTATAATGACTGATGATAGCTCTGCCGAGAGAAATGCATTAAAATCAGTTTTTCCTCACTCAAATTTACTTCTGTGCATTTTTCACGTCCTTCAGGCTATGTGGCGTTGGTTATGGGACTCTAAACTTGAAATCGCTAATCAAGACCGAAAACATTTAATGAAACTTTTCCGCAGTGTTGCTTATGCAGATAATGAAGAAAATTTAGTAGAAATGGTAGACATATTAATGAAAACAGATCAAACTTCAGAAAAGTATCCAAGATTTAAGAATCATTGTGCATCGCTTTTAAACCGTAAAAAAGAATGGTGTATTGCATATAGGTCTACACTTCGAACTAGAGGACACAATACCAACAACATTGTTGAATCATCAATACGTGTATTTAAAGACATAGTTCTTGAAAGGTGCAAGGCTTTTAATGCAGCGGTGCTAGTTGATTTTGTTGGAAATACTTTGGAAGATTATCATAGGCGGAGTTTATTAAAATATGCAAATGTGCGGATAAGTAAACCAGAACTCCACTTCCAAAAATTTTGCCAACTGTCAAAAGGGTTGATTGTTCAAAAAGAAAATGAATATTTATATTATGTGTCATCATCTACAAATGAAAACATGTTTTATTCAGTAGACATTGAGAATGAGACATGTGATTGTCCAGCTGGAAGAGGCGGAAAATTTTGCAAACATCAATGCGCCGTATTTTTGCAAGATGAAAAATTAAAATTACAAAATTTACCGAACTTAAATTTTGATGATAGAGTTGTGTTGGCCAAATTAGCAATTGGTAGTGTTGATGAAACATTTTTTCAAAATATGAATCAATTGGATGCAAATTATGACAAATCAAGTAATGAAACTGAGGCACAAGATAACTTTGATGAGTGTATGGTTGTATCCACAAATTCTAATATATTAAGATTAAATTTAGATAATGCACCTGTCGATGAAAATAATAGTGTTAAAATATTGGAAATAACCAAAAACCTCCAGGATAATTTGAATAGAATAACCACTTTAGCATCAGAATCAAATACCTTGTACACGCATAAAATAATGAGTTCCCTGACGACAAAATTATCGGCGATAACGAGTTCGTCTGAAGCACTTTCATTTTTGGCTCAGGTGAATAACAAAAAAAGAGGTCGACAAATTGGAGTCCAACCAACTTCACTTGCTAGAAGAAAAGTAGTATTGACTATAGGTTCAAAAAGAGTGCAAGCAGGGAGACCTACTGAAAGTGCTCCTCCAAACAAAAAAAGAAAAAGAAACCTAGCTAGCAATATTGACGATAATAAATGTAACTCCAAATCACACTGACTTACTAACATAAAATGTAAATAAATAACAATATTGTAAATAATTTAATCTATTATTATGTAATTAACTAGGTATAGTATAAATCGCATTGTTATAAACATGTCCCCCTTTCTTTTTTAAATTGACTTACCCAATATGGAATATAAATAAATGTATTAGTTGAATTATTTATTATACTTATTTGTTTTCATATTAGCATTATACTATTAATGTTTAATATAATAATATAAATTAATGTATTATTATGTAATTGACTAGGTAATATAGGTATAGCATAAATCGCATCGTAAAAATTATTTATTATACTTATTTATATTCATTAAAAATACTAAGTTAGGTACGAAAAATATATACCGACGACATAATATATTGTACCAATGTATGTACAAGCCCAATAGGTACAAAAATACGAATATTTAATATTGTACCCTAAAACAGTTAGGGAACGTAGTGAAGACCCGCACTACGGAGTCTAACCGGACTCGGGCACTAGTGCCCCAGCTCAGTTAGGGTTCGGAAATACGCGGCCCGGTGAAACGTCATCGCCCGAAAAATGATAAACACGCGAGTAAAAAGTTCCATACTAAGTACTATGTTCCTTTTCACCAAGATAATGGAACTTTGAAATCTGTTCAAGTTTGCCAGGCCGCATTCTTAGGAATTATTCAGGTTTCTAGGTCACGTGTTGAAACTGTTATTCGCAATTTTATGCGAAATACAGAATCACCAAAAGAAAATCGTGGAGGGCTTCGGGAAAATAGAAAAGCAGCTTATGTTAGAAAACAAGAAGCCGTTATTAAATTTATTCAAACGTTCACAGTTCAAGAGTTCCATTACTGCCGTTCTAAAACATCTGAACGAAAATACCTTGCTGCTGACTTGAATATACGGAAACTTTACTGGTTATACAATAGACAGGCAGAAACGCATAATCAAGTGAAGAAAACGCTTTTTTATAAAACGTTTAACACTAAGTTCAATATTGGATTTGGCCGTTATGCAACAGATGCCTGTTCAACGTGTATTGAACTAAAATCCCGTATTAAATATGAAAAAGATCCCGAAAAGAAAGCTGCTTTGGAAGCTCAAAAACAACTTCACAGAAAAAGGAAAAATGCCTTCTTCGAGTTGGTACGCGAAAAACGTCCCGATATGGTTACATTATGTTTTGACTGCGAAAAAAGTTTACCACTTCCTAATATTCCAGACTCCATCACATACTATTCTAGGCAGCTTTATTTGTATAACTTCACTATAACTGAAGGGTGTTCAAAATACGTATTAAATAAAGAGACCGTGTGGTGTTACACATGGATGGAGGACGAGTTTCAGAAAGGTTCCAACGAAATTTCTTCTGCCTTAATCCACAGACTTCAGAATTTCACTTTCACCAGTCATATTAAAGTCTTGCGATTGATAGCGGACGGGTGTCCGGGCCAAAACAAAAATTCAATCGTCATAACAGCAATTTCCATGTGGTTATTGAATCATGCACCACAGACATTAGAATCGGTGGAACTAGTGTTTCCGATTACTGGCCATTCATTCCTGCCTCCCGATAGAGTTTTTGGTAACGTCGAGCAAGAAATAAAAAAAAATGAAGAAATAATTTTGCCATGTGAATATCGGACTATTATAGAACGTCAAGGAAAAGTACTGCAATTAGGTGATGATGTCGATGTCTATGACTTCAAAGCAACAGCTGGAAAAATTGAAAAGCAAACATCAGCTTTACATTTCAAAATTAAAGAGTGTAGAAGATTTTTTTTCGACGTCATAAAAATGGGAGAAATTGTGAAGTGCGTGGTGAACTGGTTTACAAGCATAACGTGGGTGAATACAAAACTATAACTAGGAAACCACACAATTTCAGAAATGTAAAACCTTACATTATACGAAAATATGAACAACCCCGAGTGAAAGCAGAAAAAGTTATGGATGTGAAGAAACTACTAACAAAGCACTTTGGTCTTGATTGGGAAAAATCTGCAGAGAATCTGCAATACTATATCATTTTTTTCAATCGTCAGGTATTAACCCATGAAGAAAGCAACGACTGCAACTCTGATTGCGAATATGAAGAGGCTTGTACGGAATTTATAGTTTAACATTTGTTTTTTTTCTACTAACACATTTATTTTGTTACTATTTTTAATATTACTACTATAATAAGGAAAATCAAAAGTTGTATGATTATTTTAAAAGTTTTGAAAGACTAATGCCCGGTTGCATAAACGGTCGATAAAAACAGCACGATAAGGTTTGCTATCGGGTCGATAAACCATCATATAAATATCTTTATCGGTTCCATAAAGTACATCACTGTTGCATAAACGTTGACCAAATATACTATTAATTGACAACTTACCAGGGTCATGGTAGTATGGTATATTCAATAAATGATAAATCGGTCGTTATTTGTTATCATCGTTTTTTGAAATGTCGAAATAGAGAATAGCGATTACTGATTACAATTTACAATATTACATCGATAATTGTGAATCGACTACAACGTTTGACATATTTTGTTATTTGTATTACAGTTGAAATTTAGTTTTGTAATTTATAATACCTACTACAATATGATGGCTAAACGTAGAAGTAAAAATGTTAGTGATGCAGAGAAAGATATATTGTTGCAGTTAATCCAACCACGGTTAAATGTAATTGAGAATATTAAGGTGTGTATTACAATTTAGAATAATAGGTATTTTATAAAATTGAAACATTATTGAAACTTTTAATGCAAACATTATTTTCACATGTTTTGAATTAGACTGATGGCGCTACAAACAAAATGAAGTTTAGTGTTTGGGAAGACATAACAGTGAGTTATAATGCACTACAAACTTCTGGACAAAGAACTAGCGGTCAGTTAAAAGCTATGTTTGATGTGATGAAACGTAAAACTAAAAAGGACAAAAGCCTTGAAAAAGTAAATATTATTATTTAGAAATACACATAATATTGAACTATTTATCCTTAAAGTATTTTCTCAGTAGGTTGGTTATATTTGTAACTAAGAATATTTTTTTATTGTATTTGGTTTAATGTACTTAACAAATTTATGTTATTTTTAATAGTGCTCAAACATGTGTCAAATATTTTGTTGTAGATTATAGTAAATGATATATTTTTTTAAAACAGGTTAACTCTTACATACATCAGGCCACAGTACAAACTGACCGAGAAATAGAATTGATGTTGGATCTTATTTCAGACAACAAATTATCTGTTGTATGTAATACATTGTAATTAATTGTTTCTACATTTAATTAATTTATCAAATTATATATATGTATTTATGTAGGATCCATTTGCTTGTTCTGATATACAAACCAATGCATGGAATACAATTGCTGAAGCATATAACCAAATGCAAACTAGTGGGGTGAAAACAAGAGATGAACTAAAAATGATGAACCAACTTTTATGCAAAACAGCCAAATCTGATTTAAATAATGAAAAAGTAAGTACTATGTACAATAATTTAATGAATAATGTAGGTAGCTTTTAATAGTTGAAGTAGTATATTGTCTTGATTTGATTTGATTGTCACTGTATAAGTTACCAGAGGTATACCTCGGTGACAAAATTTTAAAATTGTTTATTGGCGGTATTCGTTAACTTAGTTTTTGTAATGTATATTTTAACTATTCAAAATTTAGTTATGGAGTCCCAATTTACAATGAATTTCTGCTTTTAAATTTATAACAATACAACAGATAGGTTTTACAATTTTAATTAATAACTTTGAGCTATCTTTGTCTATATTTTCTGTTGTGTTATATTCATAACATTCAAATATGATTTTTTATAGAGAGAAACTTATAAAACTGGAGGAGGACAATCTCAAATACATTCTTCTACGATAAGCAATAAAATAATTGGCATGATGGGTAACCGGTTCGAATCAGTAGAATCACCTTATGATAGTGATGGAGATTTTGCCAGTACATCTGCAACTATAAAGAAAAGTTATACTCCAGTTTCTACTGATGATCAATGTATTGATATGTTTGATGAAAGTAGTCCAGTAGAATGTAAGTACTTTTTATAGTTTTTAAAATTTAATTTGAGAATATTTTATTGTTTGTTTTTTTTTAGATTCTTATTTGGGCCCTAATGATTTAAATTTAACCATGGAAGTCACCTCACTCCCAAAATCTCCTAAATTGAATGAAGTTGTAGATGATCAACAACACTCATCATATGGTAAACATTGTTATTCAAATTTTTAAACACATTTTGTACAACTGTTGAATTTTGTTTAGAAAACATAATAAGTTACGATCAGTCAAAACAGATTCAAACTTCAACGCCACAAGGAAAATTGCCCAAGGTTTCAACAACGCGTGTACCTCCCAAGAGAGTTTATGAAAATATAAACGAACTTACTAACCAGCGATTAAGTTCGTATAGTTTAAAAGAAGCATTTATAAATGACAACAACATCATTAAAAGGAAACATTTAGATATAAAGCTAGAAATTTTAGAAATAGAAAAGATTGTGACTATCGAAAAACTGAAGGCAGAAAGAGACAACAATATATCCCAAGCAAAGCAAAATAAGCTCAAAGAAGAGATTTTAGAATGTGAACTGAAAAAAAAATTAAAAGAATTATAGGAATTTTTATTATTTATAAAACAAAAGGAATTTTAATTTTAATCAAAAGATATTTGACTGTTATTATTATTTATACTTATAAAACAAAAGGAATTGTGATTTTATTTTAATTTTAATCAAAAGATATTTGACTGTTATTATTATTTATACTTATAAAACAAAAGGAATTGTGATTTTATTTTAATTTTAATCAAAAGATATTTGACTGTTATTATTATTTATACTTATAAAACAAAAGGAATTGTGATTTTATTTTAATTTGTATCAAAAGATATTTGACTGCTCTTATATTTTTATTTTTTTTTTATAAGTAGGATTTATATTTTATTGTTATTGTTATATATTTTAATCATAAAAATATTTATTCTCAAACAAAACCTTTTTTTTTTAAAGTACATTTTTCTGTATCAGTACAGTGAATACTTTTAAAAAGTACCTTTTACAAAACTGGCAATACGTAAATAGGTAATCCTTAAAATAACATTTTTCAAAAGCTCTTTTACGAGTTGTCTTACGACGAAACAGTTAGCTGTAGGGCTACAGACACCGGAGGTTAAATTGTTTATTATAATAAGTTACATCCATCGTATATTTTGAATTTTAAAAAAAAAAACTAATTTCAATTTCAATGTTTTAGAAACATAGTTTTTTGTTTAACTATTTTTAAAAACCAAAAATCTTCAATTTTCATTTTTTTTCATATTTTTTTTCTGTGTCATACTACTCATACTTGTATAAATAATCAAATTTAATATTAAAAGAAATATGTATAAAAATATCTTATAGCTGTAAAATAGCATGACTATACGGTGAACTCTTTTTGATAGAACTGGAATCTTAAGAGTAACACTTCAATTATTGTGCATAATAAAACGGTTAGTAATATAATTATAATAATAATATTTATTTATTTCCAACTATAGTTTAACAAATTAAAATATAAATTAATTTACAGTAGTTGGAGTTCAAACTTTGAATGAATAATAATAAGTCATATACATTATACATAATAAGTGAAAAGCAATTACAAATTACAATAAATATTACAATGTTATGAATTTATAGGTATATAATATACCTTGATAACTTATACTAAGCTAATTATATAAATAAGAATGTATTGGTAGTATTTTATTATATTTATACTTAAATAGTAAGGAACAAACATACAATATATTAAGCAAATTAATGTTTAATATTTGACCGTTAAGAAAAATAAGTTTCTATTACATCATTTCTTACAACGTTTCCGATCTGTCTTACTGGCAAAGCTGGTAGTTCTTCTAATAAATTATTGTCTAATTGCTGTTCATTTAATGGCATTTCATCGTTTTGTTTCAGTAAAATATTATACAAGACTGCAGTAGCAACAATTGTTGTCAACGCTGTGCTTGGTTTAGTACGAATGCCAACAGATAAGACAGGAAAACGTCGTTTTAAAACTCCAAAAACACGTTCAATCACATTCCTTGTACCTATTTGGGCTTTCTGTATTTAACATAAAATTAGAAGTAAGCTGCATCTTAGAGTAATGGAGTAATATTTATGAATTGCAAAAACTGACCAAATGTATTTTTAAATACAAGTTTAATATATGAGAAATACAATTTATATCCATTTGTATCAAACTTGATATTATTCTTTGATGATGATGTAGGTATATAATATGTATTAAATGTGCTATTAGTACTATCGTGTTTTAGTGGTAGGTTACATAATATATAAAAATATAGTTAAAATAACGCATTATATGATAATGTTATTCACTTGGTTACTATACATGGTCACTTTTTGCATGATGACAACAATATCTGAAATATGCTTACTTGATATTTTTTTTCGGAATAAGTTGTGGGATTCAGTAAGGGAGTCATGAGATAACTCCTGCATGGATAACCACCATCGCCAAGAAGAAAACATCCATCATACTCATTGTTTTCAAATTGGGCCCGCAGTAAACTGTTGTCAAATACAGTGCTATCATGCACAGATCCTGGCCATCTGAATACACAGTATTAATATTTAATAGAATTTAACTAAAAATATTTTTTCATAATACCTGGCCACAATATTCATTATTTCCATTTTGCTGTTACACACGGCTTGCACATTGAATGAAAAGTAGCCTTTTCGATTTCGGAATTGTTCGCCTATATCACTATTTGGGGACTGTATTCTGATATGTGTACAGTCAATAGCACCAATAACTCTAGGAAAATTATTTGTTCGGTAGAATCCAATCTGTACTTCTTGTTTTTCATTTTGGTTCTTAGGCATATTAATGAATAAGGGGCGAAGACACGCTAAACGTTTTGAAACACGTTTTACAATTCTGCATACAGTAGACTTATGGACTTGTATATGATCGCCTAAAACCGCCTAAAAAAAGTAAAGCGTGTAAAATACTAAATTAATATTTTTTAAGTATTATAAAAAGGGTCAGAATTAGATTAAGCAAAGATTCACAAATATAACTTACTTGAAATGCTCCAGTTGCATAATACCTTAATGCTATTAACAGTTGAACCTCAGGTACGATTGCATAGTTTCTGTTAGTATAATGTTCTAAGTCATTGCCGACTGCACTAAGTAACACCATAAATGTGTTCTTTGTCAATCTATAAAGTTGTTAAATAAAATACTTGTGAAATATTTAGCTATAATAATAATTATTATTATAACTTATGAAAGACTTATTGGCGTTTATGCATAATTATTGGTATTTACACACTAGAACCTTACCTAAATCTTGTTTTGAAGTCCAAATCGTCGTAATTTTCAAGAGGATTGAAACGATTACGGAATGTGCGTGGTCTTGGAAGATTAACAACCATTTCAAAAACCTGTTCATCATCAGATGATGAGGAACATGATGATGACGATGATGATGATGATATATTTAAATTCATGTTAGATAGTTTTAAAACAATTAATTACTAATTTAAAAAAATCGTTTAATAATTAATAACAGGATGATTAATAAAATAGTCAATAATCAATAGCCGACAATATGATCAATAATACCGTGATATGACTTAATGATAAAACACTGTTATCAGTTCAATAAAGTTATAGAGTTCTTTCTATTATTTATCGAACCAAAATCGGGCCTTCAATTTATCGAACCGATAACAACATATTTATCGGATCGTTAAAAGATAAAAGTCGTTTATGCAACAGACAATATTTTTATCGCACCGATTTCTGTTTTATCGAACCGATAACTACTTATCGATCGTTTATGCAACCCAGCATAAGACAGTTGTAACGAGACAGAATTATGTCGATTACGAAACAACGCGCGCGCTCTAGGAGTGCGTACATGCGCGACGTGTTGAATGCACGTGATAGCATGCCTAACTGATCATGACTTTGAAACATTGTAGAACCATACCGAAGTTACCTGGAGCTTCTTAACTGTTCAAAGAAAGCGCCTATACTACCAGCGGAGCTTATGGGGTCTTTAATAGCAATTTTCATAATAATACGTTGTAACCAAGACGTAATGATAAACTACCTAGAGTGCGTGCGGGTGCACTCACTCTTAGGTAAAGATAATCGGAGTGAACATGTATAACTCCGAGACTTCCAAATATAATAAAAACTAGAATAACAGATTCATCACCACTCCTGCTGTAAAAAACTTGCAGCCGCCCACATTCGAGGAGATACTTAAACTAATGAAAATCGCCGTAATATACACACACGGGAACAACGTACTACCTACTATCTCAAGGCGCGGAACCACAGATATACTAGTCCAAAACGCCAGTGGAGCATCGCATCGTATCTCGTCTCGCATCGCAGAGTGTATTTAGACGAAAAGTCACTTGTTCGAGTTTCCGTTCGTTGTCCGTTTTACCCTCCTCTAGTTTACTGTGTGCAGTAATACGTACTCCGTATTGACAAGCTGCACACACCTAAACCAGAGGAGTGGCCCGTAGCTGTAGTAGATTTGTGGTATCTAGTAATACGTGTACCGTATTGACAGGCTAGATACCACATCTCTCGGGAGTCGCTACCCCAACCGCCGCTGTTACTATTATAGTCGCCGTTACTATTATAGCCGCCGTTACTATAGCCGCCGCTGCCATTACTGCCGCCGTTGTTGTAAGAACCGCCGCCGTTATTATTATAGCCGCCGCTGCTATTACTGCCGCCGTTGTTGTAAGAACCGCCGCCGTTACTATTATAGCCGCCGCTACGAATACTGCCGCCGTTGTTGTAAGAACCGCCGCCGGTACTATTATAGCCGCCGCTGCTATTACTACCGCCGTTGTTGTAAGAACCGCCGCCGGTATTATTATAGCCGCCGCTGCTATTGCTACCGCCGTTGTTGTAAGAACCGCCGCCATTATTATTATAGCCGCCGCTGCTATTACTGCCGCCACTATTTTACGAACCACCGCAGCCGATTCAACTACGCTCTACCCCGTGCCAGTGCCAGAGGAGTGCACCTACGTTGACAGAATCCGACTACGTGGAGAACTATTACCAGCTACGTGAGTCTTTATATCATCCACCAAATAAATAAACCTAACTGTAGCTCGAAGAGCATCTATAAACACAAAAGAATATACTGTAACATTTATGATTTAATAAAACATAAAATCTGATCTGAATATCAATAAACCTATCTGTAGCTCGAAGAGCATTAATGTTTAAAAGAAAATATTGTACAACCATTGATTTATTAATTGAAATTCATTTACGTGAGAATAAAAACACATAATTATATACAAGTCAAATCAATTGTGTTTTACATTCTTACACAGTCTTGATTCCTTTTTTTATTTTTTTAATTAAGAAGAGCGTACTGAATTATTTTATAGTTAAACGGTTGTTTTTGTTTTCTAGCAACAGATTTATTTTGTTACTATTTTTAATATTATTTTATAGAAAATCAAAAGAAGAATGATTATTTTATAAGTTGTAAAAGTGTTAAAATATTGTTTGTTTTTAAAATAATAAAAAAATAATAATTTGTTATATTGTCTGTTTAATCCTACTTTTTCTATCAACATGTCTTTTCTATCACGTCATATAATACATTTTCTACGTTTCCGTGGCAAATGAGGCAATCTCCATGAGTTTCTGTGACAAAAGCGGCAATCTCCGTGGTTCCGCGGCAAATTTTACAAAGTCCATTTTCCCTCCTTTATTATTTAATGTTATCGACATATAACAAATTAAGTGATTGCAGGGAATAACACCAAATACCACTATCAATCAATGAAAAAAAAAAATAATGGAAAAATACAAGAAATAAAGGTAAAACAGTTTTTTGTCATTTACCAAAAATCACTGCGTTTGGAGATTGCTGACTTTGCCACGTAACGCCTCATATCAATTGATTCGCTGAAATGTTCATTCTATGAAACATAAGACATAGTATATTATTTTTTTACTGTTTTTTTCATTATATATTTTCTAAGAATTATAACCAAAGCGTTGAGTAATGTATCCAATATGTTTTCAGTTACTATATAGTTTTTTTAAACTATGTTATAACCAGACATTAAATATTATTTTAAAAAATACAACCATAGCTTTGAGTAGTGTTACGTCTGACCTCCAATTTGCTTTGGTTATAAGATATTTACTAAGTAGTTACTAACCTCTGAATCAGTTGAAGCCATTGTACGGTACGACATCTTTTTTGGTAGTATCTCTGTTGAACTGAGTTGCTTGTCCTGGTATGAAATCTTGAAGACTGGTGAATATTATTGAATTCCCTCAGTATTTTATACACAGATTTTACCACTACTTCAATAATTTAATATACAAATGTTCATGGCAATGGCTTGGTTCCATTTCTATAATAACCTTATTTGTTAGAAACCTGTTAGCCCATGTTCATATAGGTACAACAGCAAATTGTATTCTATGAATTTAAACTGTTGCTAACATAACATGCTCAGCCAAATGTTTATGACATTGTAACGGGCTGTGACTACGTACATATTATAATAGTAATAATATATAAAATAATATATTATATTATGCTGTATTAAGTATAATACGCTTGTAATATAATATATTATATTCAATAATTGATATAAATGCTGCAGAGGGCACGTAACCCAATAATAGTAATAATATAAACGTCCGGGCGGCCACATCGATAAGAGTATAGAACGCGCGCATTATCCATATTCTGAGAAAGACAAAAAAGCCGTAAACAACAAAATAGATAACTTTGAGAAAACATATAATCCCAATTAATATTATTTCGTAGAGGACGCCCGAAATGACCTCAGGTATACGCAGTTATGTACCATTTATATACTAAAAATGCTATAGGAGGGATATAATAGGAAAACCGACGAAATACGTCGATGGACAAGTGTCCATCAGACGAACACCAGCCAAGACGACGAGCACTATAGCAGGACAGCCACAAGTCGATACGAAGTCACAACCCGTTTTACCATAATTTTACAATTTAATTAATTGGACTTAGAATATTTTCGTGTTAAATAAATACAAATAAACTATCATTATATTATCATCAACTTGTTATTTTGCTTCGAAATACAATCAAACTTGAGTTGACGTGGTTGGCACGTTACAAATTGGCGCTGTGGACAGGGTATCTCAAAAAGATACTTAGAAGAACTTGAAGAACAATTAAAAAAATTTTTGAAAATTTTTCAACTTCTAAAATTCAATCAAGGAGGAAAATCCATCACTGGACCACCGTTGGGAGCCTGTACACCTTCCAGCAACTCCGAGAAAGAATCCTGTAATTAACACCCAACTACAATCAACATTTCAACCGAACAATGGAAGCAACCGCTGTACCAGCTGCGTTGTTGTAAGTATAATTACGTAAATAATATCGAGGTGTTCGTCTCCTATGGTAAATGCATGACCATAGTATATAATAATAAGTGAAGAAACTAGTCGTGTTAAATAATATAAGAAATTTTAGGAACTTTGAATTTTCGTTTCAACAAACCGAAATTGTGTTGAATTTTACCAGTGTTTTAATAAAATAAATCGATAAATTTTCAAGGATAAAATTAAATAACATTTGAATAAAATAATAGTTTATTTTAAAATAACGTCGCGAATTATTTTAAATAAATTAAAAATTTTTAACTTTAAATTAAATTAAATAAAATTTTATTTTCAGGTATTTTATGTTTCAATCATTTTAATAGAATAAGATAGATATTGTTCAGTACTTTAAGTCATTTCTAAATAAAATAAAAATAATAATTTTATTTATAATAAATTTATTCAATCATTTAAATTAAAATAAAATAAAATAATAGTTTAAATTAAATACATTTTAACCATTCTACCCACCGTGCAAAGGAATGTTACAAACATTCCACTGATATACAATTTAAGTCTTAATACAAACATTGCAATGGAATATTCCTTGACTGTTACAAGAATAGTTCATAAGCATATTAGATTTTAATATTGAAAAAGAACGTTCCAGTTATAAACATTTTGTGTATAAAGAATTACATAACCTTGTTATGTTAACTAACTATTACGTGAATGTTTGGAAAATACATCTCATCTATTAATATATATATTTTTAACTATAAATATTGTTGTTGTTACTTGTTATCCATTTTAAACCGCGAAAAACCAGTAATCGTTATTGCCCGTCATGATGACTTAAGTGAGGTTATAAAATTAAATTCTTGTCTGGTTGTCAATCGAGATTCGAGACATCGAGTCGTGTACTTTGAAGTTTCCGTGTGTTTTAATAGTGTGTGTTGATAGTGTGTTTTAATAGTTTAATACGATTTACGTCAAACCTGCAGTGTATTGTGTATAGGTAGTAGGTACTATTACTTACCTCACCTACTCGTCATGGCGAACTTCATTAAAAAGGTAAGAATAAAGTATTTCAATTTCAGTAATGTAGGTACCTAAAGTGTATGCT